CATCCATGGTGGACTGCAGTTTCGACCTCGCATTGGTCTTATCAACACACTCAGCGGGATTCGAACCGTGACAGTGCAGGACGGTAGCTTGATACGCTAACCACTCGGCTACACTGCCCCGAGTAACCTTGAATCACAGGGCATAAGTGAATTTCAAGGAAGGTTACGCCTCTGATATATCATATTCTTCGGTGGGTGTGCCGATGAAGCAAACGTATGTTTGCTATAGCAATCGACAACGTTACTTATATTCGTATGAAAGTAGGGTTTCGAGACTACCTGTAGTTACATTCACATTTACATAATGCCTAATTTTTTTGAACATTGCATTCCATAAGCCCGTCAAGTGCAACTGGTTGAGGTGGTCTGCATTTGACCATTGCCACATTGCCAAATCACTTCAGTCCTGTGTATGGTACACGGTTCACTGAAAAGACTTATACTTCACCCCTATGCAACACTTGGAATGCAACCTATTTTAGGGAGCTTTCCGTAATTTATTCAACTTTCGCATCTTGATTCTTGCAGCAACAATAGCAAGCAAGGCGTGCAGAGTTTGCTCTGACGAAGATAGTATTTCTAAGAGCATTGGCCACAAACATGTGATGTAGCATTCCACCAATCACATCAAAACATTCATCTGGCGTAATTATCTGAGTTGAACTCGCGTCCTTTATCCATTGTCGCTTAAATCAACTCAACCATAACATAGCCTTGTAATCCTTGCCTCCAGTCTTATCATATTAGCTAACATAAACTGCGAAGCGTCTAACAATTTTCAATGAGACTTAATTGTTTTGAGGCGATCCGTTTTTAGGCTATTTTCCATTAGATAATTGGATAAAGGAGCGATATTGCAATTTTGGGTTGACGTGAACAGACTTCACGATGCTATTGAATTTCACCTAGCCTTGCCTTGCCTGGACTGGACTGGACTACAGTGTCCATTTCGCGCAGGTATCACCAGCATTTTCAACGTTGCCACGATCGACCTTCAAGACAAATCAAGCCTTCCACAGGCCAGATTAATAATGGAATGATTGAGTAAGCAAACATGTGTTTGTAGCCGCAACAGACAACATGACTTATTTTCGATGTAAATAGGTCTTCGAGACTATTAATTGTCGTCGTTAGGATATTCATGATCTGATATTTAATCCCTCTATGGCAGGGGTTTATAATGAGCCCAAGACGTGGTCGAGACTGCAGTTCATTCTGGATTAGAACAATGTTGAGGAGGCAAGATTAAGTGAATCGTAGATATAAGGACTAAGACGGTGTGGCCTTTTGCTTCGGTTGCATAATGTCGGTTTGGACTCGTTTTTGCAACTTGGTCGAAGCGATAAGGAGGCCTTGTGGAACGTACCCAGTTCTGCGTCCTCTGTCATAGCATTCATGATGATTTCCAGCATCGAACTCTTGATTTATTGCATTCCCAGACGTACCGATTCAACGTCCCGATGCTGGAGATCATCATGAATACTATGGCAGAGGACGCGGAACTGGGTACGTCCTACAAAGTCTCGCTGTCGCTCCGACCAAGTTGCGAAAGCGAGGTCAAACCAACACTTTACAATGATTTACTTAAACACGCACTATAATTTGAATTTACTAAATCACTCTACACTTTATACAAATGCATATATTTAAGGTATGTATGCTGCACGCAAGGATGAGACGTTGAATTGTATTATCTCGTTACATTTAATATGCTTGTCCGCCATGTAACTGACGAAAGCTTGATACCTTTTTAGTGAAATT